CCTCGATCCGGTGTATCAATCCGTGAATAGCCTGCGACCCAATCCACGTTGCTTCCCTAGTGCCCGATTGACCGGCGCGGCCACCTTCTGACCAATCACGTGTGAGATAAGTTCTTGGCGTTGCGGTCTCCGCGATCGGCCAACGGCTTCGGCGTAGGACTGCCCTGGACACCTGGTTCTCAAGGTACCTATATATTGCTTCTGGTATTTCGCAATCTCTGGAAACGCTGGGCCAGCGAATAACGGTGACTTGTACTGCTTGACTTCCGGTCGAGAATGCATGTGCCGCAGGACTGTTGTGTTTGGCGATTGGTGGACTTGTAGTACTGTCTCGCAGACAGTATGGATTAATATGTCTATCCAGGCAACTCATGCTTCATTCGTTTTGTCCACACATTTTAAACTCATAGCAGGACTCAGGAAACGGCACGAAGTGATCGATCACCGGGCGCACGAAAGTCATTTACTGTACCTGGAGACATGGCCAACATCATAGGGCAGAATAATGTCCGCACAAAGCTCGGCGAACAGATCAACAGCCACCTGATCAATTACCAACCAATACACCCGAGCTACCAATATTCCAAAACGTCATTTACTGTACCTGTAGACATGGCCAACATCATAGGGCAGAATAATGTCCGCACACCATAATCTCGGGACGTGTCGGTCGAATACCGGTATTCGCATAGAGTGAAATGTTCAAATCTTCAGAGGCATCACCGATGAAACAAGTAAATACTAAAAGGGACAGCGTATAGTCTACTAGAGATTCAGAGTGTACGTTGCGACTGGTTTAAACATTGGTTTCACCCGAGGTGTGCGCATAAGGCACCCTAATGTTGATATATTTCTCAGGAATTTAATTTCTAACAACTCATTAATGAGTTCAATTATATGGTTCGGTGGTATGGGTTAGGGGCATCATGGAATTTAAGGATGACATGACGGCGGAAAGTGACGAGATCCCTCTAACACCTAACGTGCCGTAGATGTGTGGTCACGCAATGTATTTACCAATGGAGTCTTTATCCGTATCTCACCTGAGAGTCAACGGCCGAACGACCGCCAGTAGTTTGGGTTCGATCGGTAACGAGTTTATCGCTTGGTCCTGCACGCACTCTTTTGGGAGTAGAGTACGATGGAGATAGGACCCTATTCAGTTGGGGTCAGTTCGCACAATAAAGTAAGTCCAGGATGCAGATCGATTCCCCTCTTTGCAGATCACTAGGCAACTTCGGTTGAACCAACTCCCCGATTGATGACTCATAGTCACTGGCCACGCAATAGCGCTTGTAGGACTGTCTTGAGTGCCAGGTGAATCATACACCAAAATGTCCTGCTTAGCTCCCATCTGACTTGTTATGAACTTCACTGTTTCATTCACACACGGTCTCAATAAAGCATGATTTCTTTGAACCAGACTCTGGCATGAGTTAGAAGAGTATTCGGAAGTTCCCCGACACATCCGGCAGTCTCATTTCAAAATTGTATTGGGTCCACCAAGGTTCTTCATTTTTCTCGAAACTTTTAGGTATTTTTTCGGGTATGCTGCTACCCACCGGAGTGCATACAGGGGTCCAGTGGACGTCCGGTGAGCTACAAAAGATCGGTTGTTTCTCTATGTGGTGGCCATGATGTGAAATTCGAACGTAAACACCGGGCGATGGAATCTTGCTGCACCTACCTGGCGAATTCCAGCGAGGACGAAACGCGCAGTAGATTGCCTTCTCGGGATAAACCGCACCTGTTTTACCACCCCATTAGGCAGCCAACTAGGTCAAAGCATACTGACCAGAAGGTCCGTGGTTCGAACTCAGCCCCAGCATCTGGACTGCCCCTGACCAGCCTTGAGCAACCTGGCAGTATCCTAGACCTCATTCTTCCTTTGGGTGGCGTGGCAGCTGGGCACAAAAAGGGTATTACGGTTGAAAAGTTGCATTTTATTTCTTTTATTATTCCGTGCAAATGTGCGTCGCCTCCAAGGGCGAGCTAAGAAGCTATAAGGAGCTGATTCAGACGAACCTTTCGACATCATTGTAAGTGCATCGTCTTCACATTTGTGAATTCTGACCACGCGCTCGTATGGATTCGTTCCTCTCTTTGTGTTTCTGGGCCGCGTAAGGCGTGGACGGTTCGCTTAGCGACTGAGAAACTGGCAGATCCCAAGTTTGGAAGAACGTGCCAGAACCGTTTTCTGAACTCCTCCAATCGCTCCGCTGTCGGATGTGAATTCGTGTTGTAACGAGATTTCCATATCTTTACGGTGCGGAGAGTTTTGTCTGTGGCACGGCGCTACCAGGTCCGCTCAAGCACTGGATATCAGACACTGGCACCGATTTAATCTCAGATAAATGCGACGGACGGTCCCAAACACAGTTTGGCTCGACAAATTATCAGACCAAACGGAAGTGAGCGTACATACTGTGAAGTCTGGTGGACACGGAAGGCAAAGGAAACGAGAGAGGCATAGAAAGCCGTGAATGCCCAAAAATTGCTTCAGTTGATTCGTGCCAACAGTCCTCAGAAGCCACCTGTGAGCAAAGCCATCAACGATCAGTGGTGCGACCATCTTGAACGCCTGGACCACAGGGCCAGGCATTTGAACAACAATCCTATTGGCTACTCGATGTCACTCATTTGCATCCTGCTCTCTTTAACGCGTGTCCAGCAAAGAA